CTTTTTTGGGAAAAAAGTTTGATTTTGTTTATCTCTTGTGAGATTGAGCTAACTCTGAAGGAATGGTTGAAACCTCATAAGCCTGTCTGCTACATAGCCAGGAAGCTGCATTATAGAAATTATTTCATTGCCCCCCCCCCTTTTTTTCTTTCTACTTGCTAGTAAAGCAGCTAAGGTTGTGGGAGCCCTATCCTTCTCACATGCCTGGGTGAGGGGAGAATGCCAGGTGAGGGGCCCCCTAGAGATAGTTGGTACCAGCAGTAACTATGAAGCAGCTACAGCAGGGCAGGAGGTGAGGGTGGTGTGGAGTACAGAGGTAACCTTGAAGACTGAATACAAGAGTAGTTACGTTAACACCAAATTAACTTTGAAAGGGAGTAGGGGATAAGAAAGAAACTTATGATTGTCTTGCCTTGATTTTATTGGCTTTAAGGGGGAGGAAGAAAAACTTTATCAAGCTTTCAAGAGTTTGTTACTATACCCTGCAAGAATAGAGTTCCAGTAGTCCATGTGGAGTCCAGTTCCTGATCTGGCCTACTTCGAAGGGCTGACACCCAGGATACGTTGATTCTGGGAGAGGAAGTTTGAAATCTCCAGAGTTTCAACCTATGGGTTCAGACATGCTGCTACACAGGTCTGTTAAAATCAGCTTACTTTGGAGTAGTCCAATATTACTGTCAGCAATATTAGCATTGTACTGCTTCTGGAATTCAGACCTTGTCTATGAAGGTAACAGATGTATATACTGTTTTTGTTATCATGTATTTCATGATGTATTCATGATGTATTTGTTGCTTCTATTTTGTAAGCCAGTAGCAGCACCATCCTACATATGGTGATTTTGAGTTTATGATTTTATGGTTTATGATTTTATAGTTATTGGTTTTATTGTTGTGAGCCACCCAGAGTTGTGTGTATGATGGGCAGTCATACATATCTTTTAAATGAATAATAATAAATAAATATGTACTCTGAAGTAAGCTTCACTAAGTGAAGCTTCACAATATGACCTATTTCTAGGTAATTGTGACCTTTAAAATGTACCGGTATTCTGACTTAATAGTTATTGTCTGTATTTCCCTTTTATTGTTGTTGTTTTTAAAATAGGATTTAATACTAGTTACGGATTGTACATGAATGGCATTCTGGTGCAGAATTCCTCAGAGCTGAGCTATTATACTTCTGGCCTTTCTCCTTGGAGTCTCCATGTGTTCAGAGTTCAGGCATGTACAGCAAAAGGCTGTGCTTTGGGCCCGCTGGTGAGTACTTCCATTTACATTCTGAGAATGTAATAAATGTCATTTGGCACTGAATATCAGCGTAAATGGTGATGATTCTCACTGGTCAGTATTAACCCATCTGACAAAATATGACATTTTACAAAAAATGCCATTAAAAGCTGCAATGGATTCAAATAGGTCACTGCCAAGCACTTTTCCAAAATATCATATAGATACAGTAAAGACAGAGAATTGGGGGGGGGGAATGAGAGAAAAATGCATATGATTGAAATTAAAGGAAGTTAATACGTTTAAAAGGCACAGCTGTGGTTTAATCTGATTTATAAGGACACAATTAAAGTAAGAATTACTATTCCAGAGATGAGGGAAAAAATGCTAGCCCCTCTTTGCCTTAAAAGGATTGTGTGACAGATTCATACAAGATCAAACAACCTTATACGTCACAACTTGAAAGATGTTGTCCAAAGTGATATGTTGCTTTAAAAAGCTATGAATCTGAGTTGAAAATTAAATATTTAAGGATGTGATACAGCAGCAATCAGTACATGAGAATTTTTAATATGAGTTTCTCTTTACACTGAAAGCAACAAATTTTAGAACTTAAATGATATTTACATTATTCTCTAGTCTTAATCATTTTACAGATGCGTGATGTTTTGCTTTTGTAACATATACTTTAACAGTGTAAAATACTATTGCCAAATACAGTATAAGATTCTTTATTATATTTCCCCTGATTAAAAATCAGTTCAAGCACAGTATTGTGTTGTGTCAAAAATAACATACTTTCTGCCTTTGTGGAGCTGAATTTACCCCTCCCCACTAAAATCTGTGATAAAATCCCTCATTTTCCTCATCTTACTCAAAACGGGTGGGGGGAAAGTCTGAAGCACATATTCCAGCACTTCTGGCAAAATTTTACTTAACAACCTCTCAGTTTGTAATAACACCTTCACTGTGTGAAGATTACCCCAGGAAAGGGTATCACAATTTAATTTTTTCTTTTCATTTTGTCTAGTGTTTTCCATTTTCTTCCCAAGATTCATTGCTTTAAAATGCTAGCAATATCATCCATCTGTAAAACAGAATGGTAGACTTTATTACCATTAAACATTTCAGAGCTTGAATGGGGCTGATAGATATTTACTCTTAAAAGCAGGAGTGGCTTTTTGCCAATTGTTCTACTCTCTCTTTCTCTCTCATTCTCTCTCTCTCTCTCTCTCTGTGTATGAATGAGATATTTAGGAAACAATCCAACAATCCTTGTAATATTACTGCTGTTTGCCTTCCATATATTTTTGTGGGACTATTTCATAAACCTATTTACAATGCATGAAGGTTGCACAGCAATGACCATGCTGGTAGAACCATGCCCTTAAAACATTTTCTTGTTCTGTTTTGTTTAAGTTATATCAGCTCAGGTACAACATTATTATTACTAAGATCACTTCCCATATGACATTGATATAGTTTATTTGCTGCTTGCATTATCTCTTATGGTATTACAATACTTTCAACATAGGTCCTCCTAATAGAAGCGAATATGTGTAGCTCAGGGTTGAAATGTGGAGTCCTTGGGGTTCCCTGAGCTTGGTTGTTTTCTTGCAAACATTTCATTACCTAGCTAGGTAACATCTTCTAGGCAAACCCCATTCCATTCTAGCACTCAAGATGTTACCTAGCTGGGTAATGAAACATTTGCAAGAAACCACCAAGCTCAGAGAACCCCAAGGACTCCATAGGTCCTCCTCTTCTGCAAGATATTAGTGGGTTAAAGCAATCCAGTAAAGCCAAAACTTAGCCTTGATTTCTAATGCAATTCAAAATAGAGAAGTTGCAATTAACCTAATTATTACTATCAGCTTGAATCAATCTAATGGAGCATAAAGGCCTCCTCACTGAAAGTTATGCATTGTAATCTACTATGCTGGTCCAATTGCAGGTGCATTAGACTTTCCAGACCGGGGCTTGGGGGAGGTAGTGACCCAAAGTCAAACAACCAACTTCTGTGCATAAAGACAGAAGGACAAGTTCTGTACCTTAACTGGCTCTTAACTGATCTGTGATTATCTGCATTTCTTTCTCAAAGAAAAAAAAATCAAACTATTTTCTTGTCCAGTGACCCATCTCCAGTCACAAAAACTGACACACATTGTCTTTATTTAAGAAACAAGGGGCCTAAATGCTGCCAGGAAATTAAAGCACCATATGCTCATTTGATTTTCTAAAGTATTTCTCTCCCTCTTTACCATTTATAACTTTGCTCTCTGATTCCTTTTAATAGAAACAAGGGCATCCCCCAACAGTAAGGTGATATTCTCCTTCCGGCTATTTTTATTGCAGATCTTTTATTTAATGTGCCAAGAGTAAAGATTTTTATCCATAAGTTTGAGAACTGCTCTTGCATAATGTTTTAATTTAAGGCTTTTTCAAAGAAGTTGTATGTGATTTAAGATTTAATGAAAATCTAGGTAATTCATAATTAAGCATATTAACTTATATTTGAACAGAACATTAGTTTAAAATCTGAACTAATTTTAATATGCTGTTTATGGAAATAAATGCTATTAATAATATTGATCCATTCATGAATCATG